AGTTCACAAATGTAAGCAAAGCTAGAGGCTATCACCGAGGGCAAGTGTGGAGGAGGAGGGACTATGAGAGGAGAGGAGGTAGTGGGCGGCAGCTGAAGCTGCTGGCACACGGCGCAACTGGAGCAACTGGCACACGGGCAACTGGAGCAACTGGCACACTGGCAACTGGACCAACTGGCACACGGGCTACTGGAGTAACTGGCTCCGCGGCTAACTCTGAGCGGCAGGAGCAACGGACTCACGGGCGACTGGAGCAACTGGCTCACAGGCGACTGGCGCAACGGGCTCACGGGCGACTGGCGCAACGGTCTCACGGGCGACTGGAGCTGCGGGCTTCACGGCGGCCACCCCCCTTCAACCTCCCCAAACTATCCCACCCCCCTTTCACACACCCCCTGCTGCATCCTAGGTTCACTCACACCCCACACCCTAGCACCACTCCATCGACTCCCACACACCCACCCCCTCAGCGGCAGCTGCAGCAGTGGGAGACAGAGGAGGAGGAGGAGCAGGGGAGACCACACACCCGCCACCCCCTACTCGCCACCCCCAAACCCTAACACAGGGCAGGGCGGGATGGCGGGTAGGGAGGTTACGGGGGGGGGGGGGGGGGGGGGGGGGGGGGGGGGCGACGCGCGGCCTCCCAGGGTGCCAAAACAGGCGGCAGAAGGGGCGACGCTCGCCCCCCCCCCCCAGGTCGCTCCTCCCGTCGCCTGTCGAGGCGACCTGAGGGGGCCGCGCGCGGCCCCGTAGGGAGCCGCGACGGGCGACGGGAAAAGAGGGGGGGGCGGTGCACGGGTCCCCGGTGCGCCGCGACAGGCGACGGAGCATGGCCGGGGCGGGGCCGGGGCAGGGTCGGGGCAGGGCCGGGGCAGGGCCGGGGCAGGGCCTCGATAGGGCCGCGGCGGGCGACGGGGCAGGGCCGCGACGGGGGGCCGCGACGGAGGGCCGCGACGGGGCCGCGAAGGGGGGGGGCGCGACGGGGGGGGGGGGGCGCGACAGGGCGACGGGGCAGGGCCGGGCGACGGGGCAGGGCCGGGGCGAGGCCGTGACGGGGCCGCGACAGGGGCGCGACGGGGTTGCGAAGGAGCCACGAAGGGGCCACGAAGGGGCCACGAAGGGCCGCGACGGGCAGCAGGGCAGAGCGCGAAACGCGCTAAGGGCAGGGCAGAAAAAAAAAGTTTAGCGAAGTGGTGGGCCCTAGGAAGGAACAGTCCCAGGAGGGAACCAGCTCTATACCATGTGAGAATCGTGGAGTGAATGGAAGGAGGAGTTTCACTAGCAAGCAGTTGAGTACATATAGCAAACCCTAAATTGGGCTGTACTCACTATTAAGTACCCCACTGCAGGCTAGACAAACATAACATTCTGACACTAATTTCTCTCCGTTCTTCATGCAGCTGAAACCCTTGCATGACCAACATGCAATAGTGGGAGAAAAACAAGGCAAGGTGGTCGTCGTGTGGGAGGGGGAAGGGAGAAAGGGAGAAGGGGGGAAGAGGGGGGGAGGGGAAAGAGAGAGGTTAGTGGCGATCTACAGGCGGAGGTGAAAGTCAGCTGATGCCACGGCGAAGTGGAAAGCAGAGCTCAGATTCGTTCCAAATGTATTACACTTGGCGCAGCACAAGCGAGGGCTGAAAGGGTGGGATAGAGCAAAACGAATCCAGCTGCCATTGTGGCGAACGTGCCTTCCTTCAATTCAGCTTCTCTCTCCTCCACGTTCCCACCATCATTGCCCTGCTGCCGTCAGCTGCGACGCCACGAGCATTCCACACCGCAGCAGTGGCACGATGAAGGGGAAAGCAATGCTTAGATTCGTTTCAGAGATATCATACCTGGTGGTGCGGACATGCGAGGGCGCCCTGCTGCCGCCAGCTGAGACGCCTCGCGTATTCCACCCAGTACTGTCAGTGACACACTACTGCAGTGCCTTCACTCATGACTCGCGGAGAATACGACGGTGTGAGCCATCATGGAGTTAGCTAAGACGCCTCGCAGATTCCACCTAGCACTGCCAGTGGCACACCTCAGCAGTGCCTTCACCTGCGGCGAATGCGATAATACGACCCACCAGTGGGGTTGTGCCGGCGAATGCTGCAGTAAGATACCATACGCATTCCACCCAACACAGCAAATGGCATGACGCAGCAGTGCCTTCACCCGCGGCGAATGCGGTGGTCAGATCCAAAACTGAATTCTTTCGAAGAGGACTCCTAGACGTGAGGAGGGAGGGGGGGGGGCGAGGGAAGGAAAGGGGGGAGGGGTTGGGGGGGGGGGGTGGAGGGAGGTCGGTGGGTGGGGGGTGGGGAGGGTTTGGATGATAGCTGATAGCATATCAAACCAGTGCCATATATAGGGCGCGAATAGGTGACGGCACAAGGGAGGAGGCATGGCCAGCAGGAAGCAACGGATGGAAGGAGAGAGAAGCCTCCGCACTGCCACCACCATCGCCTTGATGCGGTAATCTGGTGACTTATAAGTTTTGACACGACTCAAAAGTCACCTCTTGAGTCGTCTCACTAGAGGAGGATGGAGAGAAGCCTATGCACTTGCACCACCATCATCATTGCTACGCGGCGGTACCCTGAACAGCCACCTGCTTGTCAGGAGGCCATCAGCCGAGAGGGCGCCGCGCAGCCCCAAGTGAAAGGGGGACAACGAGCTTGCAAGGCAAAGGCGGAGGCAGACGGGAACCAGCACACCGAAACATGATCAGCCTCACCCTTGGCCGCCCCCAATTTTCCAGCTACCTCCTTTCTAGATCGACGCGTTCCGCACCGTGCGGTTGGCACCCGAATAGCAAAAGCAACGCACGGCATGCTACGCCCCAGCCCTTGCTGGAGACAGCCATATGAAGCACCGCGCGTGGACACCTCGAGCACGCAGTAATCCGATCCCGTCTCGCATTGAAATCCCATCAGCACGCTCGCAGAGGGTTGGCTTCGCTTAGACCTCGCCTCACTCAAATCGACCGCCTGCTGCTATGCTCCGACTAGCGATCCCATTGCTGAATCCGCCACTACTAGGGCACATAAACGCATAGAGTCGATCGTAAGCAAGCGGAGTTTCAATGGTTGTGCGACATGTATTGGGAACCCAGTGACCTCTTCGCTCTCCTCGGCCTTCAGATCGTCTCACCACGCGCCTGCATCCCGATCTCGCACGGTGCACGACAAATATATACTAAACGGCAGATTCTCGCAGCGCATTTCACAGCTAGTGCGCGATTGCGGGAGACAGCGAGAGGGGCACGCGACAGGACAATGTCGAAATTAGTAGAACGTGCTCGATGAACCGACGATGCTTGAGATCCCACTACACGTGGAGATTGTGATGGCTATCAATTATGGACGGCGACACTCCTGCTTGCTGGCGTACATCCAGCTGTGAACAGGACCTAGCGACTAAATAGCGTCACATTTACTTCAGCTTTAGTAATGACCTCGGGAATAGGGTGATGTGAAGTAAATGGGGACATGGTAATGTGAATCGAGCAGGGGGTTCGAAATAATTACCCGTTCAGGAACTGCATTGCCTTAACACCAGTCGCGATTACCAGTCCGTATTTTGTAAAAAAGAAGTTCGCGTTTCGGAAACATCAACCCTCGCTATTGTGACGAAATGTGGAAAGTAGATGGTTACTGCCCTGGTTCACGCCCAGCAATTTCGTTCACTCGTTGAACGAGATAAAACCCGAAGCCTGAATTACAAAAAAAAGTTGGGAGGTGTTAAGACCTCCCCTCCCGAACCAGGGTGGTTACCAGTTGTTCACCTGCAAAACGTGATGAAGTCGCAGGCAGCACAGGGAAGTGTCGCGGGGTTCCTGCACAACCACTCAGGAGATGGTGTGCACACCAAACTGTGTTATGTAATTCAGGTCGTCAGAAACCGCTTAGTCTGAGCAGCAAGAGCGACAGCCATAGTTTAGACCATCTAGGCTTCTACCCCCTTCCAGCGCATGTCGGAAAATTTCGCCTTAGGACCGCAACCTCCATTCTTCCAATATGTCTCTAAAGCACCCCGCAGTGCTAGGTCACGTTTCGAAGCGACATAGCAAATTGGTTTCGCCACCCGAAAGTGTCACCCACCCACCCGAACCTCTCCCCAACCTCTTCCCAAACCAAGCGTTGACTCGCTTTTGTAATTCAGGCTGCGGGTTTTAAAGCCGCGGTGCAGATATCTTAAGAACAGTGACCAACAGTTTTTTGTCTTGTTCCTTCCTGGTTGCCAATTGGCTAGCGAGAGAGTAGATTGTGTTGCGATGAAGAGAAAAAGGAAACAACTGAGGCGAACGTCGCGAACATCGAAAGTGATGGGGAAGGGGAAGGGGTGGGGGGAGGGAAGGGGGAAACACACACGACAACTCGAAATTCGGAACCCATGAATACGCCGTCATCTCTACATTGCATAACGAAAGAGTGTGTATTTAAAATAAGCTGAGTACCACACAAGTATCATATTCTGCAACTCAAAAGGCACATTTGAGGATTTCAGACCGATCAAAGTTTGGGGTGGTTGTTTCCCTTTGTTTTTTTAAGTTGCAACAAATGTACATGGTAGGCAAACATGAGTGTCTTTAAATCCTACATGGCTGTTGGGCTGAGAAAGCCCTTAGGATCTTTGCAGGACTAAACTCTTGGTAGGACTGATGTAATAGCGGAAGCGTTTAATGAAGAGTTGTGAACCACCGTGCGCTAGTATGTGAGGGCAAAGTAGATTGATTAAAACAAAGAGATACAAGCTTTTATAAGAGTACAAGGGAATATGAAGGGTTATAACTAATAACTGTTTTTCTGTTGCTGTTGCGGTTCGATACAGTGACAACTCGGGCAACTGCTCAATAGCGAGTCAGTTGTTTGTCCTTGCTGTCGCGCGGGAAGGGTCGGATGAGGGGAATGGGGAGGGACAGGAGAGGGGGAAAAGGGATGGCCGGGAGAGGGGTGAATGGTGGGACTGAATAGGGGGAAAGGGAAGGGATGGGAGAAAGGGAAAGGAAGGGTTTAGGAATCGGGGGATGCCTTGAAAGGACAAGGGTAGGGTAAAGGGTGGATGGTGGGGGAAGGAGGGACGGACACCGATGGAAGGAGGGACGGGGACGGGGGGAAGGTTTGAATGGTAATGGGGGAAAGGAGGGACGGCGGGAGTGGGGGAGAGGAGGATTGGTGGTGGAGAGACAGTGAGAGCGAGTTGCTTGCTACCGTCGCGCCTTTGCTGCCTGCAGGGAAGGGCAAGAAGCCAAGGTATCGACGGACAAGGGGAGTTCGGGAATGGGGAGGCGTGAAACTGAAGGTGTGGCATAGGAGGATGTGCCATGGGGGATGGTGGCAAGGGGGAATGCCCTGGAACAAACAAGGGGGAAAGCGACGGATGGGAGTGCGAAAAAGCGAGGGTTGGTGAGGGGACAAGGGGACGAATGGGTGCAGGGGGGAGCAGTGGGGGGGGGGGGCTGAATAGTGAATAGTGCTTTGGCTCAAACTTGAAAATACAAACTTGAACTCAAAACAATCTCTCACGCTTGAACTAGGAAAGGAATGGGATAGGATAGGGGGAAGGAGAAAGCCTGGGGGAATAGGATAGGACAGGGGAGGGACAGGAGAGGAGGGAAAGGGATGGCCATTAGAAGGGTGAATGGTGGGATGGGATAGTGGGAACGGGAAGGGATGTGAGAGAGGAAAAGGAAGGGTTCAGGGAAGGGGGAAATGAGCAGGAAAAGCAGCGACGGTAGTGGGGGAAAAGGGACGAATGGGGGCAAGGGGACGGATGAGAGCAGGGGGGAGCTGTGGGTTGGGATAGGGGAAAGGAGGGAAGGACAGGGGGGAAGGGATAGAAGGAGTGGGGGAAAGGGAAAGAAGGACAGGGGCCTATAGCATGACGCTGCACGCTCCCGCCTCGCCCGCCACTCTCTACCGCTCGCCACCGCTCGCCACTGTCGCGCCGCTGCTCGCCACCGTCACGCGCGCAACTAGCCGTCGCATCTACGACCATTGCATCTCGTGACCGATCTTTGCATCGACCCCAGGCGATGCTCGCCACAGTCGCACCCATTCCGACCATCGATCGCTGCTCTTCCCACCCTTTCCCCCTGTCCTTCTCTCCCATTCCGGCCCTGTCGCCATCGCTACCCTTGCCTTCGCCGCATCGCTACCAATATCACTCGCTAAAGCCGCTTGCGAGGTTTGGACGCGAGATGCTATGCCACCGTCGGAACAGATGCTTCGCCCCGCTGCTCGCTTACGACACCCTGCTCCACGCTAACGTCGCCCCGCTGCTCGCTACTGTCGTTATCGCTGCTCACTATCGTCATTGCGCTGCTGCCGCCATGCTGTTCGCTACCATCGCAACCCTACTCGCTGCCGTCGCAACCCTGCTCGCTGCCATCGCAACCCTGCTCGCTGCCATCGCAACCCTGCTCGCTGCCGTCGCCGCTCTGCTCGCTATTCGCCCCGCTGCTGGCTACCGTCGCAACCAATCCTGCCTGTCGCCATCGTCGCTGCTTACCACCGCCGATTCGTGAGAAATAGAGGGACGGGAGAGGGAAAACTGAACGACGACAGCGGAGGAACTCTAGCGCAATGCGCTACGGGTACGACTGCCGTGGTGTTTTTTGAGGTACGAAATAGCGCAGATATTCGAGCGCACACTAAGAGGCGAAGAAGAGCGATAGATCTGAGGCGAATGGCTCTCAGTAGCCCTACGAGAAGGCACTTCAAGTTAGTAGTAACCTAGCCTAGCGTGAGAGATTGCCGAGTTTGAGTAGTTTTGAGTTCAAGTTTCAAGTTTGATGCCTGGCCCCCCCTTCATGCTGTTGTGCGGTGCTTTTCCGCAAGCCCTCCCCAGCTTCCCCCCCAATCATCATGCTGCGAGGCACTTTTCCGCACGACCTTCCCCCGCTCTCAGAAGGCTCTGCCTCCTCGACTTCCAGTGTATACTGGGTAACGCGCCCTTCAAGCTATAATACTTTGAACTGGCGCAGCGATATCTGCACCGCGGCTTTAAGTCCGGTTACTCGGAATGAACCAACACACATCCCCACTATCTCTTCACGGAAGCACCAAGGACACGCGCCCTGACGAGTACCACTCATAGGGCGACTTCAGGTTGTACAAATCTCACACATTCAGAATTCTTGTATCGTGGCTCAGTACGGTTTCACACGGTTGAAAGCGGTTTTCACTTATTACCGTTTTGCACCGTGTTGAAACGCAGCCGACCACAGAGAGCGTACAAAGGGTTGTACAACCTGACATTGCCCAGGCCAGTAGCTGTCCACACTATCCAAATGCTTTGTCGTTTGGCCTCTGCTCTCGCTTCTAGGCTTCCTAACAACTGTGCATTTCAGATCGTTGCGTGCCCAGAGCCTGTTGCGGAGCTAAGATCCAAGTGTGTGCGCGAGTCTCTCAGCACGTCTTTATTATCTTCGAAACCCTAAAAACAGGCCTGAGGTAATTTGGTCCTGTCATTCCATTAATTTCGCCTCGCGCACAAGTCTACCCGAACTATCATTCTCCTCCTTTCTCTAATGACTTAAAGTTGTTTGGTGCTCCTGCTACCCTCTGTTCCTCTCATCCGCGTACCGTTGCCTCCCCGTCGTCTCCATTCCACGTCTCTAACACTTGGCGCGCAAAAGAGAATGCAGCAAATAAAAGTTGAGTAGACATGCATCAAGGCTCCGCGCCTCCATGCTCTTATTCGGGCAAACTAGCGCCATTTTGGTGTACAATCAGCTTGTATTGCCAAGTCCCAGTGACAGTGTGGCCTCGCATTGCTGCAAGTCCCGCCATCACACATTCCTGTCTTTTTCATGTCCTCGTTTGGATCCCCGCCATTACATCCGTGTGCGGATTTTCAGTTTACCACACCGATTTTTGCGGAACGGCCTGCTGTTTCCACTGTGTACACTCTGAATGCATCTCCTTCACCCTTCCATCACCCTGCTCTGCTCTCTCTCGCCTCACAATGCTTGCCTCCGGCCACTGCTCGACAATTCATGCCCGCTCCTCGCAACGTGATCCATTCCCATATTTCTTTCCACCCCTGGTTTCATCACCTATGCTCGTCGCCTATACTCCTTGTACCCATGTTGCCCACTGAATCTATGCCTCGCCTTCTTGGATGCTCCCCCCCCCACCGCAGCCTGGGTGGCGTTATGGTTTGCCTTGTTTGCATAACAAGCTGTAGCAAGTATAACTCTTACCCAGTCCCCCTCGTCTCCCTTCCTCTCTTCCCTCGCTCGCACCACTTTCAGAATCTCCCATCGTCAGCCATCACGCACCACGCACTGCAGATCGACTGATTCCTCGCTGCCGCTGAGCATCCCTATTGTCTCCCCCCTCGATCTCAGCCTTCCACGTTGCGAGTTCCCAGCGTAAGAACCATAGTGCTCGCACGTGTATCAGACGGAAATTTGTAAATTTTTTCCATAACGAGTGCCCTTGGGATTCCACCATAACGCCAAGGCACTGCTGCATTGCTAGCCTTGTTGCCCCTCGATGCATTGCTAGCCTGGACCCTTTTGCATGTTGCCGCTCATTGGCTCATTCACCATGCTATCACATACCTAGTCCTCACTGATCTAGGGTTTGCCTGACCTAGCCTGCGACTGACAGCCCGTGAGGAGCTATGAGAGAAAAAAATTGCTCCACATTCTCCTCTTGGCATCCCCTGGTTTGTTCTACTTCCACCTGCCTTCATGCCAAATGCATGAGTTTAGTGTGGTGTACAGGCCTCCCCTCTCACTGCTTTCCAGCCATGTGCTCCATCCATTCTTCTCTCACATCTTGTCATCGAGTCTTCCTCTTCGGGTGCTCCTTATCTTCCTTCGTACTCGCATCACTGCCTCATGCCTCATGCCTGTGTAATTGGTATTGTTCGTGTGTGCACTGACCATGCCGCTTCTCCTTCTTCCCTCTCAACTCAAGAGATTCAACTCTGCCTCACCCCGGCTTGTCTGCTTTCGCACTTTGCAGTCAATAAACGAGGGTCGCTTTGGGTAGTCAGTGGATGAAATGGCTCCTAGGAGAGCGACGGGGGCATCGATTGAAGAGGTCAAAGAGGCGGTGTTGGCAGCATTGAGAGAGGGGTCAGTTGCACACAAGGGGGAGGTGAATGAGCTGCGCCGAATGCTGACTGTTTTAAAGAAGGAGAACAAGGTGACTGCTGCTGTGATGGAGGAGAGGGAGAGACAGCTGGAAGCAGTGAAAGGGGAGTTGGCATCGGTGAAAGGGCAGTTGGCATCGGTGAAGGGAGAGCTGGGAGTGGTGAAGAGGGAGATGGCTGAACACAAGGTCGCCATGGCAGACAAATTGGCTGAGAGTGGTAGGGCATTGGGTGTGAAGGGGCTGAATGGGAAGAGGAAAAAGAGAAGGCAAGCAGGGACAGAGGAGTGTGCACCGGAGGAGGAGAGGGGGAGGGAGGTGCAGGGGGTGGATCGACCACGTGCCATGGAGGAGGAGAGGGGGAGGGAGATGCAGGGGGTGGATCGACCACGTGCCATGGAGGAGGAGAGGGGGAGGGAGATGCAGGGGGTGGATCGACCACGTGCCATGGAGGAGGAGAGGGGGAGGGAGATGCAGGGGGTGGATCGACCAAGAGCCATGGTGGAGGAGAGGGGGAGGGAGGTGCAGGGGGTGGATCGACCACGTGCCATGGAGGAACTGGCGGCTTGTGAGGAAGGGCGGATGATACAAAACCTGAAGATGGATGTTGAGGTGCAAATCAGGGAGAGCGAAGGCGATCGGAAGATGGCATGGATGGTGAGTGTTGAGTGAAGTGTTACACAGTGCATGCTTGGTTGGACAGGGCATGCAGGGCATGCATGGTTGACAGGGCATGCGTGGTTGACGACAAGAGATATAGGGATTCAGAAATGCACCTCCTCACTTCAGCCACACTCCACCCACTCAGTGCACTCCCCCTGGGTGGTTTCTCGTGACTCGGTTTCTGCTGCTGTGAGGCACCCATCTGCGCCACCACTCTGTGCTCGAGGGAATCATGCTGTGACTGTGCAAGAAAGGGAAAGGACTGAGGGAAGCAAAAGTGATTCAGAACAGAATAACAGTGGGATGCATAATATGCGATGAGGTATGAGACGAAGTACGAGATAAGTTGCAGGATAAGTTGTGTGATGATAAGGATAAGGTATGGGACATTGTGTGGGATGTGAGGTATGGGATGAGGTTTGGGATGAGGTATGGGATGAGGTATGGGATGAGGCACACGATGGGGTTTTGAATTAGGTATGAGATGAGGTGCAGTGCACATCTATGCCACCACTATGCTTTCCTGCTTGAGTGCACAACCATGGCTGCTCATGAACTAAATACCACAGCTGAAAACCCTCCCATCTGGAGTGACAATTACTGACACACCAGCATCTTGGTTCCACCCATGCCCCAGGCGTGACCTCCCCTGAGTCGCCCTCCCTCCACGCCATGCCACCATGGGGAGGTGGCTGGTAGAAGCAGCTGAGAAGAGAGAGGAGGGAAGGTGGGGTTGGCGGAGTGCATGCAGCGTCCCTCTGCTGCCACCTTCAACTACCCATAAAGGAGGAGGGGGGGAGAGGGGAGGGAACAAATAGGTTGGCAAGAATGAGAGTTGGCGGGAATGTGAGGGAGAGTGAATTAAAAGATAATCAGAAGCGACACTCAGTGGCATGTGTACTAGGGAGCAGAGCAGGGTGATGGAAGGGTGAAGGAGATGCATTCAGAGTGTACACAGTGGAAACAGCAGGCCGTTCCGCAAAAATCGGTGCGGTAAACTGAAAATCCGCACACGGATGTAATGGCGGGGATCCAAACGAGGACATGAAAAAGACAGGAATGTGTGATGGCGGGACTTGCAGCAATGCGAGGCCACACTGTCACTGGGACTTGGCAATACAAGCTGATTGTACACCAAAATGGCGCTAGTTTGCCCGAATAAGAGCATGGAGGCGCGGAGCCTTGATGCATGTCTACTCAACTTTTATTTGCTGCATTCTCTTTTGCGCGCCAAGTGTTAGAGACGTGGAATGGAGACGACGGGGAGGCAACGGTACGTGGATGAGAGGAACAGAGGGTAGCAGGAGCACCAAACGACTTTAAGTCATCAGAGAAAGGAGGAGAATGATAGTTCGGGTAGACTTGTGCGCGAGGCGAAATTAATGGAATGACAGGACCAAATTACCTCAGGCCTGTTTTTAGGGTTTCGAAGATAATAAAGACGTGCTGAGAGACTCGCGCACACACTTGGATCTTAGCTCCGCAACAGGCTCTGGGCACGCAACGATCTGAAATGCACAGTTGTTAGGAAGCCTAGAAGCGAGAGCAGAGGCCAAACGACAAAGATAGCATTTGGATAGTGTGGACAGCTACTGGCCTGGGCAATGTCAGGTTGTACAACCCTTTGTACGCTCTCTGTGGTCGGCTGCGTTTCAACACGGTGCAAAACGGTAATAAGTGAAAACCGCTTTCAACCGTGTGGAACCGTCCTGAGCCACGATACAAGAATTCTGAATGTGTGAGATTTGTACAACCTGAAGTCGCCCTATGAGTGGTACTCGTCAGGGCGCGTGTCCTTGGTGCTTCCGTGAAGAGATAGTGGGGATGTGTGTTGGTTCATTCCGAGTAACCGGACTTAAAGCCGCGGTGCAGATATCGCTGCGCCAGTTCAAAGTATTATAGCTTGAAGGGCGCGTTACCCAGTATACACTGGAAGTCGAGGAGGCAGAGCCTTCTGAGAGCGGGGGAAGGTCGTGCGGAAAAGTGCCTCGCAGCATGATGATTGGGGGGGAAGCTGGGGAGGGCTTGCGGAAAAGCACCGCACAACAGCATGAAGGGGGGGCCAGGCATCAAACTTGAAACTTGAACTCAAAACTACTCAAACTCGGCAATCTCTCACGCTAGGCTAGGTTACTACTAACTTGAAGTGCCTTCTCGTAGGGCTACTGAGAGCCATTCGCCTCAGATCTATCGCTCTTCTTCGCCTCTTAGTGTGCGCTCGAATATCTGCGCTATTTCGTACCTCAAAAAACACCACGGCAGTCGTACCCGTAGCGCATTGCGCTAGATTTCCTCCGCTGTCGTCGTTCAGTTTTCCCTCTCCCGTCCCTCTATTTCTCACGAATCGGTGGTGGTAAGCAGCGACGATGGCGACAGGCAGGATTGGTTGCGACGGTAGCCAGCAGCGGGGCGAATAGCGAGCAGAGCGGCGACGGCAGCGAGCAGGGTTGCGATGGCAGCGAGCAGGGTTGCGATGGCAGCGAGCAGGGTTGCGACGGCAGCGAGTAGGGTTGCGATGGTAGCGAACAGCATGGCGGCAGCAGCGCAATGACGATAGTGAGCAGCGATAACGACAGTAGCGAGCAGCGGGGCGACGTTAGCGTGCAGCAGGGTGTCGTAAGCGAGCAGCGGGGCGAAGCATCTGTTCCGACGGTGGCATAGCATCTCGCGTCCAAACCTCGCAAGCGGCTTTAGCGAGTGATATTGGTAGCGATGCGGCGAAGGCAAGGGTAGCGATGGCGACAGGGCCGGAATGGGAGAGAAGGACAGGGGGAAAGGGTGGGAAGAGCAGCGATCGATGGTCGGAATGGGTGCGACTGTGGCGAGCATCGCCTGGGGTCGATGCAAAGATCGGTCACGAGATGCAATGGTCGTAGATGCGACGGCTAGTTGCGCGCGTGACGGTGGCGAGCAGCGGCGCGACAGTGGCGAGCGGTGGCGAGCGGTAGAGAGTGGCGGGCGAGGCGGGAGCGTGCAGCGTCATGCTATAGGCCCCTGTCCTTCTTTCCCTTTCCCCCACTCCTTCTATCCCTTCCCCCCTGTCCTTCCCTCCTTTCCCCTATCCCAACCCACAGCTCCCCCCTGCTCTCATCCGTCCCCTTGCCCCCATTCGTCCCTTTTCCCCCACTACCGTCGCTGCTTTTCCTGCTCATTTCCCCCTTCCCTGAACCCTTCCTTTTCCTCTCTCACATCCCTTCCCGTTCCCACTATCCCATCCCACCATTCACCCTTCTGATGGCCATCCCTTTCCCTCCTCTCCTGTCCCTCCCCTGTCCTATCCTATTCCCCCAGGCTTTCTCCTTCCCCCTGTCCTATCCCATTCCTTTCCTAGTTCAAGCGTGAGAGATTGTTTTGAGTTCAAGTTTGTATTTTCAAGTTTGAGCCAAAGCACTATTCACTATTCAGCCCCCCCCCCCGCTGCTCCCCCCTGCACCCATTCGTCCCCTTGTCCCCTCACCAACCCTCGCTTTTTCGCACTCCCATCCGTCGCTTTCCCCCTTGTTTGTTCCAGGGCATTCCCCCCTGCCACCATCCCCCATGGCACATCCTCCTATGCCACACCTTCAGTTTCACGCCTCCCCATTCCCGAACTCCCCTTGTCCGTCGATACCTTGGCTTCTTGCCCTTCCCTGCAGGCAGCAAAGGCGCGACGGTAGCAAGCAACTCGCTCTCACTGTCTCTCCACCACCAATCCTCCTCTCCCCCACTCCCGCCGTCCCTCCTTTCCCCCATTACCATTCAAACCTTCCCCCCGTCCCCGTCCCTCCTTCCATCGGTGTCCGTCCCTCCTTCCCCCACCATCCACCCTTTACCCTACCCTTGTCCTTTCAAGGCATCCCCCGATTCCTAAACCCTTCCTTTCCCTTTCTCCCATCCCTTCCCTTTCCCCCTATTCAGTCCCACCATTCACCCCTCTCCCGGCCATCCCTTTTCCCCCTCTCCTGTCCCTCCCCATTCCCCTCATCCGACCCTTCCCGCGCGACAGCAAGGACAAACAACTGACTCGCTATTGAGCAGTTGCCCGAGTCGTCACTGTATCGAACCGCAACAGCAACAGCAAAACAGTTATTAGTTATAACCCTTCATATTCCCTTGTACTCTTATAAAAGCTTGTATCTCTTTGTTTTAATCAATCTACTTTGCCCTCACATACTAGCGCAAGGTGGTTCACAACTCTTCATTAAACGCTTCCGCTATTACATCAGTCCTACCAGGAGTTTAGTCCTGCAAAGATCCTAAGGGCTTTCTCAGCCCAACAGCCATGTAGGATTTAAAGACACCCATGTTTGCCTACCATGTACATTTGTTGCACCCCAAAAAACAAAGGGAAACAACCACCCCAAACTTTGATCGGTCTGAAATCCTCAAATGTGCCTTTTGAGTTGCAGAATATGATACTTGTGTGGTACTCAGCTTATTTTAAATACACACTCTTTCGTTATGCAATGTAGAGATGACGGCGTATTCATGGGTTCCGAATTTCGAGTTGTCGTGTGTGTTTCCCCCTTCCCTCCCCCCACCCCTTCCCCTTCCCCATCACTTTCGATGTTCGCGACGTTCGCCTCAGTTGTTTCCTTTTTCTCTTCATCGCAACACAATCTACTCTCTCGCTAGCCAATTGGCAACCAGGAAGGAACAAGACAAAAAACTGTTTGTCACTGTTCTTAAGATATCTGCACCGCGGCTTTAAAACCCGCAGCCTGAATTACAAAAGCGAGTCAACGCTTGGTTTGGGAAGAGGTTGGGGAGAGGTTCGGGTGGGTGGGTGACACTTTCGGGTGGCGAAACCAATTTGCTATGTCGCTTCGAAACGTGACCTAGCACTGCGGGGTGCTTTAGAGACAGATTGGAAGAATGGAGGTTGCGGTCCTAAGGCGAAATTTTCCGACATGCGCTAGAAGGGGGTAGAAGCCTAGATGGTCTAAACTATGGCTGTCGCTCTTGCTGCTCAGACTAAGCGGTTTCTGACGACCGGAATTACATAACACAGTTTGGTGTGCACACCATCTCCTGAGTGGTTGTGCAGGAACCCCGCGACCGCCGCCCCTAGGCCCGCTAGCCGCCCTTACAGCCTGCTCGCCGCCCTTGCGGCCCGCTCGCCGCCCGTGCGGAACGCTCACTACTTGCTCGCGGCCCGCTAGCCGCCCCTGCAGCCTGCTTGCCACCAGCTTGTGGCCCGCTACGCCGCCCCTTCCGCCCGCTCGCCGCCCCTGCTGCTCGCTCGCCGCTTGCCTGCGGCCCGCTCGCCGCCCCTGCAGCCCGTTTGCTGCCTGCCTGCGGGCCGCCCACCGCCCTTGCAACCTACTCGCCGCCCGCTTGCGGCCCGCTCGCCTGGTTCGGGAGGGGAGGTCTTAACACCTCCCAACTTTTTTTTGTAATTCAGGCTTCGGGTTTTATCTCGTTCAACGAGTGAACGAAATTGCTGGGCGTGAACCAGGGCAGTAACCATCTACTTTCCACATTTCGTCACAATAGCGAGGGTTGATGTTTCCGAAACGCGAACTTTTTTTTTTACAAAAAACGGACTGGTAATCGCGACTGGTGTTAAGGCAATGCAGTTCCTGAACGGGTAATTATTTCGAACCCCCTGCTCGATTCACATTACCATGTCCCCATTTACTTCACATCACCCTATTCCCGAGGTCATTACTAAAGCTGAAGTAAATGTGACGCCATTTAGTCGCTAGGTCCTGTTCACAGCTGGATGTACGCCAGCAAGCAAGAGTGTCGCCGTCCATAATTGATAGCCATCACAGTCTCCACGTGTAGTGGGATCTCAAGCATCGTCGGTTCATCGAGCACGTTCTACTAATTTCGA